GTTGATGAAATCGAGTATACTATCTTGGCCAACTAAACTCTACATAATAATATTCACAGTCCCTTTTTCTGAATGGGTCCTTAAAGCGAAGCACAATCAAAACCAAATTGTGTTTGCATCAAGGAAAATCCTATGTTGTGGTACTATGGATGTCGGGAAGCAACTAAAATAGAGGCAAAAAATGAAGACATTGATAGAGGCCGGCCATCCACCACCTTGCCCTAATCACCTTTTTTGTCACTTTTCAAAGGATATGACTCCACTCCTCCACCTTCTTCCAAAGGCATGTGCATGAGTGATGGTGCGGGCAAACCACTTTAGGTGCGATTGTCATCCGAATGAGTATAATCTTTAGGAAAAAAGGCCTGAAAAAGCAAATGGTATTTCAGTGTTGAATCTCTATTGATTGAGAATTTGAGATTGGGATCTCTCTTTACTAGACATGCATCATGAGCCTTGTATCATGGATGGTCTCACCTCTTTAAGGCACAAAGTATACTTTTCTTCTCTCTCTTGCCGCCTTGCTTTCATTCATGTAATTTCAGTCTCACTCTTGTCACTTGTGTGTTCTTTTACCCTAGCTAATTTGCATACAAAAAATGTTTTGGATACAAGGATTTCTTTGGTTTAGGGTTATAATCAACTAACTCTACTTCATGAATATAATTTCTTTTTTTTTTTTTAAAAAAAAAAAACCTTTTAGCTGATTTACTTGTGAAATTGTAAACAATATTAATTTTCAACATGAACTTTTATTTTTATTTTTTATTTTTTTTATTTTTTAAAGTTGATATTTAGACTAACTCAAAGTTCACTCCATGCTATGGGAAAGAAAACTTAGTCTACCCCTATGTAAATTTTTGGCTCCACTCATAATGACGTTGCTATTAGTGTAACAAGGTTGGTGTTTACGTTGTAAACATTCTAATATACTATCAAGGTAAGTTGTTATGCGTGGATATGATTGCATTACAAAATTATCGTTCAAATTAAAGAGCAACTTTGTCTAACCTTTTGCAAAACCAATTTCACAAATTCCGGTTTTGAAAATCATTGTCGATTAAGCTACCAGATGCATTCTAAAAAACATGCAATTTTATTTGTAGGTTTCGTTTTTTGTTACGGTCCGGCCCTTATATAAATCATAGTGCTAGAATCTCACAATCCTTTTGGGCAGCCCATGGTATCTTGTACGCTTTGTTATGGCCTAAGCCCTTCAAGGATTATGAGGATCGGGCTAAGTGAATCATTCTTTATATAAAAAATAGAATTATTAAAAATCTTCTGCAAAACATTTTTTTTTTCATTCACCTCTTAAAAGTTCCATTTATTTTCATTCGCAACTTAATAATTTATGCTACATTAAATCTGCACCAAGATGCACATGCATGATTGTTTTATGTTACTGTCATAAATCGCCTAGTTTTTAGTATGTTTTAAGATTGAATAACTAAAATTCCGTGAGATAACCTAGATTCACCTAATATATTTTCTTCAAGCTCTCAGACGTACTCTCGCACTCTTCTCATCATTTTGCCAATAATTATTATACTGATTATTGGGGACCCTTGGGCAAAACATTAAGGATGCCCCCTAATGTTGGAAAAAGAAAAAGAAAATATGCTTGTATGATAATTATTAGCAAAATGAAAACAAAAATTCAACGGCGAGATAATAAAGTAGTATTAGCTTTGGATTTGATTGGTGAGAAAATGTAGATAAAGTAGTTATTAGTTTTGTGAAATTAATGGTATTGGTGGCCATCTATAGTTTTATCTTGGTTCCATTTTGTGGCTGGGTTTTGTTTCACTCAGTTGACAAGTTGGTATCCAAATCTTCGTTTTTGTTCTATTTTTTGCTGTAACGATTCATCTTTTCATTTAGCAATTGCCAAATTTTCAATTAGGGATTGCAGAGAATAAAATGAAGCAACAGATTAAAGGTAGTGTTCCGAGAAAGAGAGAGATCGATGGAACTTCTGTTGAAATTTGAAATACAGTTAGTGGAGAAAAATCATGTTTGAGGACGTTACTTCAGCAGCTGGATTCTTTTGGACAGCCGGGATTGAAGCAAAACCAACGGGTACCAGGATCCTCATCCCTTTTGGAGTTTGCTTTCTCTCGGATACGATCATGAACACACAATCAAGCTAAAGGATGGTGCAGTTTGAAATGCGATGGTAGCGTTAAGTATGTTGTGTGTCATATGTTACATACTTTCGGAACTTCAGTGTGTGATGCGAAAAAGGACCTATACAAAGTGGATTTTCATTTTTAATTTTGGCCGTTGTAGAGTTTATATTAATCTAGAGCCTAGAGTCCACAAGAACTTCAAAATCCGATTATATTTATGATCAAACTCAAGCCAGCTAAATTTACTATCACAGATCTGCATGGGGATGTTCGAGTTAAAACATTGTACTTGACTCACGATATTATAACTTCTATACATATAAGAAAATAAATTAACCAACACAAATTATAATTAAAGACACTTAACAGTTAACAGTATCAAATAATTATTTATTTCTTACCAAAGAAAGTATCAAAAGAAAAAGAAAACTCCTGGCAAATCTATCTACCAGTACCACATGATCTTAAAAATATAAACAAATTCGCAACAACAAGAATTAATTGGAGAAAAGCAGAAGGTTAAGCAATTAAATGATTATAAGTTGGAGTAGTATTACTTTTCTCGCCAGCTTCTGTGCTCTGCGTTACAGGGTTAATGTGAGGCACAGAGTTGAGTAGCACTACATCTGCAACTGGCATGTCAAAAGGAGCTCCTCTACCGATATCATCGAACAAGGAACCAAAGTCCGGCAGTGGCTCATTGAGGCAGTACTGATCTTTCGTATCAATTGAATATATGCCAGATGGATAGCCGTTATTGTCAAGTTGTGCCGCATTGTTGTACACTGACACAAATTGATCCGCAAAACCATATTGATTGGACTGATGAGAGTACGTTGTGATCCCATTGAATGAATGACTACCTTGATTGTTTACATCCGTGCTATGAACCAAAGGCATTGGCTGCATTACTTGTTGCGCACGCAAGTGTAACATTGGAGCTAAATTTCTCACCTGATTTTGATGAGCTCCATAGCCTTTAGTTGATCCAAATGGTGACATTAATCCACTGTTAAATGCATGAACACTGTGATTATCATCGATCTTGTTGTATTGTCCCGATATATTAGAAGTAGAAGGCCCGGCGTGGTTCATGTTATTCGGAGGCGGCGGTAGAGGTTTATGAAGCAATGGATGGTCTTGACTTTCTTGACCTTGCAACACTAGAGCTGGTGATGAATTTTTCTCCTCTTCATCATCGTCAGAAACGCTTCCACTTTTTCTGTTCTTCTTGCTTTTTTTGTCCTCAGATATCTTGCATAGAACCCACTTATCCAACTGCAAGCGCACATGCAATAAAGGAAAAAAAAAAAAAAAAGCCATGCGTTAGTAGAAAAGAGTCCCATAATCTCGCACGTCTCACGTTAAAGTGATTAGTTACGAAAAATAAAATTTAAAGAATGGTACGTATCTAATACGTTGATTCAGAAATATGAATAAAGAACTCAATTTCACCGGTGATACATAATTGTTGTGTGGTAGATCTAAAATTCTGACCTAACATCGATCCATCGGGCTACTCCCCCGCTGGACTTGCTCTTGTAAAGTAATCGCGTCAAATCTGGTTTTTCTCAAGTTCCTTCATTTCAAGGGGGACAGAAAATCTAAGCACATGGGGTACGGATTAAGGTCAAATTTAGTACGAAACATGTACATTTTCCAAGCATACTAATTGACTTCTATATTCAAATTTAAAGGACAGTCCGATGTGATTGATTGAACGATCATGTGAAATTTCCTTCAGTCACAACATGCGGCATAGCATCCGGCTTCGTCTTTGCCATAAACAATGATTATAGGTTTGCCAAAAGGTTCCACCGTCTCGATTTTCCTTTTCATTTTTATAAACGACATTTCTTTATAAATTGTAAAGAGAAGTGACACCGAGTTAGGTTATCTAATGAGCTAATTATGAAGAGCATTTTTAATCACGTTCTTTATTTTTTTAGTTAAAATTTAGCTAAAAAGACTATAAAGTTACTTCAAGAGCTTCATAAAAAAAAAATTACTTCAATCATACTCTCTAGTTTAATAGGTCATAATGGTCAATAGAAATAAAAAAATTTATTTAGAATATTGGTAATTATGCTGGGAGCTTCTTTTTCATTCTCTAGATTTAGGAGCTCCTAGGAGAATTCTTATCTTAGAAGGTGGACAAGGAGTTTGATTGGAGGCTGATTTTTCTAAATCATCTCTAAAATTTAGCTAGGAGCTCTTTTATGGAGCTTATTGGAGATACTCTAACTAGATATCAAACTTAACACAAATAAAATACGTTCTATTTTTATGTGAGTTAAAAGATTGTCACTAAACCACAGTATTAGTTGTATTTTGAATGGAAAACATTTTTTTACATGTTCTCAAGGAGTAAATCACGGCAAACCATAAAAGTTCATGTGGTATTCGACCCAAGAAATAGAAAAATTAAAAGGTCATGTGGCCTCTAATCCTACACACATGCACATTAAGAGCCCTGTTGGAGAATGAGGAGAAATTTTGTTTATCAAAAGTACAATTTTCGTGGTGTATTATTCCATATATTATAGAAATAGTAAAAAAAATAAAATAATATGTATCATTTCTTGAGTACATTAATTAAAAAACTCACTAAATTATATTAATAAAAATAATAATTTAAGTAAAATAATAACATTACGTGATCATGTTTAGATACGTCAAGAATCAGACACAAGTAAACACATATCGCGGCTTATTTGGTGCCCCTTTTCAAAATGGGACGAACTACTTGCTTGCTTATCTTCTATGCATTCCATGAAATTAAATAGAGGCACTTGCATTTTCAATTTCCCACTTACTTTCTTTTTATTTATAAGGGTCATTCTAGCTCATTCTTCCACGCAAAACATTATGGCGCCCTTGTCTCTCTTTCTTTGCTTTCTGACCTTCTCTCTCTGCACTGGTTATGCTTCTGCAGTACCTCTTGATGGTATACATTTCGTTTTTCGGTTATCTTTGTACAATATACATGTCTTTTTATTTTCTAATATTTAATTATGGATCATAGTATGTGCTCTTACCAGTTCAATAATTTTTGGGATTCAAATTCCCTTAATACTATTGTTAAAGTTTCCCTTGACAAAGTGTGTTTACAGTTTCTAGAGTAACTTCACCAATCACCAGTATGTTTAGTAACTTTGAGTCTTTACTTTATTGAAGAAATTCCTGAGTTCATATCCAATTAAGTGGATTAATGTATAAAGAAATATATATAGTGTTAAATTGAACTAGTAGTTCATGTAGTGGTTTTTTTTTTTTTTTTTTTTGGGTTAAACGTTAGATTTTGTTAGATTAGCTGCTGACGGGATTTGAACTCACGCCTTCATGCAAGGGCTGAACACCTTTGTCAAAAGAATTGATTTTCTATCCATTTAATGTAAACATCTTTTCATTTGAAAAATTAATATGAGAAGAAATTTTATTTTTACGGGAGCGCTGCTAACGAAATGAAATAACAAAGAATGAAAATGCAGCAAGAAAAAAAAAAAACTAGAGTACGAAAGCGAGAATCTGAGTAAACTACATAGTGTATTAGTGCAAGTTTTTAGCATATAAATGGTTACAAGAAACTTCTTGTTACAGTTTGAGACATACATAACAATTGCATCTCTGTGTTCGCAGTTGACCTCCCAAATGGGCACTTTGAGGATGGACCAAAGCCTTCAAATTTGAAGAAAACAGTGATTATTGGCAAGTACTCACTCCCAAAGTGGGAGATCAGCGGCTTGGTGGAGTACATCAAAGGTGGACCCCAACCAGGTGGTTTCTTCTTCAACGTGCCACGTGGGGTCCATGCAGTGAGGCTTGGCAACGAGGCTTCCATTTCTCAGAACGTGAATGTTATCCCAGGTTCAGTCTACTCGCTCACTTTTGGGGCTACTAGGACTTGTGCCCAGGATGAGGTTTTAACAATCTCAGTTCCTGGTCAGTCTGCTGACCTCCCCCTTCAAACTCTGTACAGCAGCAATGGTGGTGACACTTATGCTTGGGCGTTCAAGGCCACGTCCAAAGTCGTTAAGGTCACATTTCACAACCCTGGGATTCAGGAGGACCCCACTTGTGGGCCTTTATTGGATGCCGTTGCAATCAAGGAGATGCTTCCTCTTAAGTATATAAGGGGTATGATTTCTTATATATAACCTTTGGTTTTAGTTTCAGTAGCTTGACTTTTAGAGGTTGGTTTCTCACATGCAAATGGAACTTTGTATTTTGTTCTTTCTTCTTTAAAATGAAAGAGATATATTAAAGATGATATATAATAAGAGTACGGACTTTCCTATCACGTGGTATTTGCATGCATCGTCAAATTTTTACTATTTTATAATTCCACTTTAACAAGATTATACTTACACTAATCCTATCACGTGTTACGGGGAAGTCGACTCCTAAGTTTTTTTTTTTTTTTTTTTTCCTTTTTTTTTTTGTTATCCTCCATTTTTCATCAACTATTGTATTTTATTAATCGCCACTCACCGCCTATGCGGCATGTGACGTGATAACATATTGTTTCTTTGACTACTAGTTGTAAACCAACATAAAACTATCATAGCAGTTAAGATTTATTTTAGTATATATGTTATTGTAAAGCATTAATCCATTAGAAAATGTTATTTCCCTATAATGTTGTATATAAAATTTTCTATATATGCAGGTAATCTAGTGAAAAATGGTGGGTTTGAAATAGGCCCTCATGTGTTTAAAGAATTCTCAACCGGAATCCTCCTCCCTGCCAAGGTAATGGACAAGTACTCACCACTGCCTGGATGGATCATTGAATCTCTGAAGCCTGTGAAATACATAGACAGGAAACATTTCTCAGTTCCTAAGGGACTTGCAGCCATTGAATTGGTTGCAGGGAGAGAAAGTGCAATTGCTCAAACTATTAGAACCGTCCCAAACAAATTCTACAACCTTATCTTCACCGTTGGAGACGCAAAGAACGGTTGCCACGGATCGATGATGGTCGAAGCCTTTGCAGGCAAGGAAACCCTAAAAGTTCCTTTTGTGTCTGAAGGAAAAGGTGGCTTCAAAACTGCAATTCTCAAGTTCCAAGCAACTTCAATGAGAACAAGATTAACATTTTACAGTGCCTACTATCACACAAAGCTTCATGACTATGGTCATTTGTGTGGCCCTGTCTTGGACAATGTCATTGTTTTTCCAGTCACTAGCTAGTCTTTAATTAATAACTAGCTTTTCTGTATGCTCTTTTTTATTGTTAAGAAGATCTTGAAAGACGAGTGTGTGTTTTGTTTAATTATGTATAAATTTGGCTCTTTAATATATGTTTCTCCAATATATTTTCTGAGTCGTAGGTTGGGTGTACTAATCCAAAGGAAAAATTTTATACATCACATTGGGTCTTAAACTTTCTTCAAGATATGCAATTTGAATATTTATTTTTACTTTTAATACAATAATATATTTACACTAAGGGATTAGAGGATGTTGGCTAAGCCACATAATGGACCCGCCATAATAATTTGGTTATGAACTTGTCATTCATGGGAGTCAAACTTAAGACATCCCACTTGCAAATGAGGATAAATATTACTAAACTGTAGTGCTAAGAGCAAGGAATGTGAATCATATATATACACGTTTCTTTTTTCTTCTTCAGATGTGTGATGTGAAATTAACTAACACACAAATTAAACCCTATTAAGATAGTTGTAGTATATGAAAGTAGAGATTGTTCTAGGTCGGGGATTAACTAGGGATGCTAATCTACATAAATGTGACTCAAAAATACAAAACTAGACTTAGAAACACTCAACTAGACACTAAAAACTCAAAACACAAAATTGGACAGATTTGAACACATTTCTAACTAGTCTAACGCACTTAATTAAAGGGGGGATTGATTTGGACGAAATTAAATTAAAGTAAAAACAAACAGATTTAAAGACTCTAAACAATTTGGATGAAATTGGGTGTTTAAATGGGTGAATGGCTAGCTAGAGGGTTCATCTCCACACATGACACATATGCATACAAATTGATTTCCAGTTATTATTCTATAAACCATGAATGACAATGCCCCAAATTAACCGTGAACTGCACAAATTAACTCTTAGATTTTCCTAATTTCATTGAATTGGATGGATAACGCATCGGCAACCAAATTATTCTTCAATAGTTCCCTACATGAACAGCATAATAGAGATACAATCAAAGATCATTAAGCTTTGTGAAAATCATAAGCATTGATATGACATTCGTAACTATAAACTGCATGATACTCTTGCCATGGATTTACTTAACACGATTGTGACTAGCAACCTTCGCTACTTATAAATATAAGTTCATAACGATTAGGTGAAATTTCCTTATATTTTAGCATCAAATTCATGCATGTAAACTAAGTATGCATCCTTAATCAACATACAAGATAAGTTATCAATCAAATAGATAAGTAAATCACATTCATGTTTTACGAAACAATAACTAGAGGAAATCAATTCATATCACATATATGTTCATGGCTTTGAATCCACCTCTAGCTAAAACGAGTTTAGCTACTCATGTTTGCACTTAAACAAAGATAAATTAAATTAAACATTGAAAACAAAAGATAGAATACACCTAGAAACGTTCCAGTAATCCAAGCTTGAATGGCAGGGCACGACTCCAAGGGTCTCCTCTCCTTTCTCCTTGCAAAGCTGCAGCACAACGAGAGATTTCTGTGTATGATAGATGTGTGTTGTGAATTATGGTGATAGATGGGTCGTGGTTGATTGCTGCGGCACAAGTATTTATAGGGAGAGGGGAAGGCACAACATGGGCTGAGAAAGAAGGGAATTAGGACTCCAAATCAACAAAGAACAAGGACACTTTCAATCAGATTCCAGGGAGGACAAGGAATGGTCCTTGCGGCAAATTCTAGAACTTCTAGAAGGGGTGGTGCGACATAGATTTAGGGATAAGGCTTTGGCTTCTAGAAACCTGATATTTAGGTATCCTAATGTCATTTAGATGTCCTCCTTGTAGCTGGAATTAAGGTAGGAAAAGATTAGGATAGGATAAGATAAGGTTGGATAATGATTGGATAAGATAAGGTAATTTGGATAATGTTTCCTTCTTCTTAGCTGATTCCTTATCTTCCAAGTCTTCAATTTAATTCTTCCAGATGTTAATCACATTCCTAGCCTCTCTTGAACTTCAAATTCGTCCATCCACCTTACTCCATGCATATGCTATCCATTCCAAGCCCAAAATTGCTCTAAATTGCTCCAAATTGCACTTTCTTGCCAACTTTGTCATTTGAACCTGAAAACACATGAAAATAGCTTAAAACACTCTAATAAGTAGAAATTAGCTATGTAAATGCAAGAAAACAAGCTAACTAAGTTGCATAAATATGCTCCTATCAATGTGAGGCATAATTTTCACAAGCAAGTAGGATTTTATCTCTAGCTACCAATGTTTTTTGGGCAACAGACACAATAATTTGTGTCCAATTATAGTAAAGATCTAATGTACAGGTCCAAATAAAACTCTCCCTGATGCCATGTTATACTTTCAGAAAGATGAGTCAATGGTTCAACATCAATAGTCTTCAATTTAACCACTCTTTAGCCCAACAGAAGTGAGAGTTTATCCTAAAAAGCCTCAGTATAATTAGGAATGGAACATGCAATTATACGTTGTAATTTGAAAACTATTCTTTATTTTAATGTTCTTTCCTTAGCCTCGGAAAATTGAGTTTGGTTCTAATTTTATAAGAATCAAACTCCTACGTACAATGGGTCATAATTTTTTTTTTTTTGTCAAATGATAACTTTGATTAAATTCTCATAGAAACATTTACATCTTTAGCAAGAATATTAAATAATCCGGTCTAAGAGCATCCCAACATAAAGCACCTCCATGCGAGGCAATATATGAGGCTACAGCATGAGCAGCGGCATTTGCATTCCGCTTAACAAATACAAATCTCACCCCTCTTAATTGAGACACCAAATGACCAATATCATGGATAAAACACTTCAAAGTAGCATCTACCACATACCCCCCATTAAGCATACTAATTATCACTTGAGAGTCAGACTCAATCTCCACTTCATCACAACCCATCTCAGTATATAGCATTAACGCCGCACGAATCACAGCAGCTTTTGCCATAGCCGCATTATTGTAAAATACACCTCTTTCCCCACCTGCCGCTTGTAGCAATTCGGCAAAGTCCCGCATAACCCATCCATATCCTCATTTGAGTGTCTTCCCACACCATGCACCGACATAATTAATCTTAAGCACACCATAATTGGGCCGCCTCCATCGAATTTATTGTCCAACAAAGATAGCTCCATCACCATCCTCACAATAGTCAACAATTTGCTTCTTAGAATTATGGCATGCTCTGAATTCAATAAGTTGATGCCTCACCAAATTAACCCCTTCCATGGGATTAGTCAACACTCCTTTAAAAACCATCTCATTTCGACTCTTCCAAATTCTCCACATAATAAAAACACACTCCTGCAAAAGCTTATCTTGCCTATCTTTGTCACGAAATCGAGCACATAACCCCTGCCAAGACTCACGAAAATCCTTTCCTGTGATAGACTTTATTTCTAGTTGCAAAGAGCAGCAGTACCACAACACACGACTGAACTTGCATTAAAAAAAACAACTGCTGCTCGACCTCCTCCACTGCTCCACAGATTACACATGAACCGTCTACTTGCATTTGTCGTCGGAGAAGATTAACCCGCACTGCTAAGGATTTGTTGCAGCAGCGCCAAATAAAAAACTTCATTTTATTTGGCATTACCAACCTTCAAACATCCTGCCAACAACGGTCAACCACGTCCCACCAACTACTACCCCCCCGTCCATTTCCTACCAAGTTCCCCATTTTCCTGCATCTCCATGGCAACTCGATACCCCGTACGAACGGTATATCCCCGTTTCCAGAATAATGCCACATGACTCTATCCTTACACCTCGCTAAACTTATTGGCAAACCAAGAATAAGATTGCCCTCCTCCTCCTCAAAACACCGCCGAATCAAGTCTACCTTCCAAGCCCCCACCTCCGAATCAATCAACTCCCTCACCATCACCAGCATCTCATTATGTTTCGATCAAACTCTATAAGTGTGAGGTCGTGGAAGTCAAAGGTCATGACTAACTCGAAAACACCTACCATCATCAACCCACCATCTCATACCTCTTTCCAGTATCCTCCACCCCTGAATGATGTCCTTCCACCCCCACGAAGTCCTTCTACCCAGCTTAGCCTCCATAAATGACCGATGCAGGAAATATTTTGCTTTAAGAATTTGTCCTAACAACGTACTAGGATTATGCAATAGTCACCACCTAATCTTCACTAAATAAGCTAGGTTAAAAGACAATAAGTCCCTAAACCCAAGCCCTCCCATCTTCTTCCTTCTTTTCATTTTCTCCCAAGAGATCCAATGCATGCCCTTTTTTGTCCTTACGTCCCCACCACTAAAACTTTGCAATAGCAGACTCCAGTTCCTTACATAGGCTCACTAGAAGTTTAAAACATGATATCGCATAGTTTGGTAACGCCATAGTTTGCTATGAAGGAGGGAGGAACGTAGCTCTCTACATGGGATGCGGGTGGCACCTGGTGGGATATCAATATCTCACCTATTTTTTTGCAGATGATGCTGTAATTTTCTGCAAGAACTTGCGCCCAAGATGAGGTTTTAACAGTCTCGGTACCTGGCCAATCTGCTGACCACTCCCTTCAAACTGTGTTCAATAGCAATGGTGGTGACACTTATGCTTGGGCGTTCAAGGCTATGTCCAAAGTTGTTAAGGTCACATTTCACAACCTTGGGGTTCAGGAGGATCCCGCTTGTGGGGCCCTACTGGATGCTATCGCAATCAAGCAGATACTTCCTATCAAGTATGTAAGGGGTAAGATTTCTTATAACCCCTTTGGTTTTAGTTTTGTTTAGCTTTCGGTAGCTTTTTAGATATTGGTTTCTCACATGCAAAATAGTTTGTGTTTTTTTTCTCTCTTGAAAAAATGGAACAAGAGTATAATTGGAATTCACATTGTTACATCGCATTAATTGATCATATAAGATTTGCTGACTTTACTATCACGTGATAAGATGATTAGTACGGACAACTAGATTTTCATATATGATTTGAATTTTAGAAACTACGTTTTGAGTGGACTATACATTACACTCATCCTTCCACGTTTTGAGTGAACTATAGAATCACTAAAAAAAAAAAAAAATCCCAAAGTTTAGTTCTGCTCACCATCAAATGCGGCATGACACATAATACCATTATAGATTACTAGTCATAAACCAATACTTATACAAGTTCCTAAAGAAAAAATATATATAATACCGTCACAACAATAAAGATTAATTCGATTAGAAAATCTCATCCCCATCTGATGGTATATGTCAATCTCTCTGTATGCTGGTAACCTAGTGAAAATGGTGGGTTTGAAATAAGCCCTCATGTGTTTATGAACTTCACAACCGGAATCCCTCCCAAGGTAAAAGACATGTACTCACCACTACCTGGATGGATCATTGAGTCCTTGAAGCCTGTCAACTATAATGACAGTAAGCATTTCTCAGTTCCGGGGGGACTTGCAACCATCGAATTGGTTGTAGGGAGAGAAAGTGCAATTGCTCAAATTATTAGAACCGTCCCAAACAAATTCTACAACCTTATCTTCACCATCGGAGATGCAAAGAACAGTTGCTACAGATCGATGATGGTGGAAGCCTTTGCTGGCAAGGAAACCCTAAAAGTTCCTTTTGTGTCTGAAGGAAAAGGTGGCTTCAAAACTGCAATTCTCAAGTTCCAAGCAACTTCATTCAGAACAAGATTAACATTTTACAGTGTCTACTATCGCACAAAACTTGATGACTATGGTCTGTCTTGGATAATGTCATTGTTTTTCCAGTCGCTTGACATTAATTAATAGCGAGCTCGTTCGTTATAGCTCTAGCTATTTTATTGTTAGAGAAGATCTTGAAAGGTGAGAGTGTGTGTTATTTATTTCAGTATACATTTGGTTCTTCAGTTTATGTTTTGAACCATTGGTGGGTATGTACTAATCCATATAAATAATTATGCAAATGCACATTTTGTTTTTTGAGAAAAAATGTTGGAGCAGTTATGTTTTTATTTAAATATTTAAATATATTTACGTTTTGTTTTATTACCAATATTAAAAGTCAATTGATTTTGGCTTAAGGAGTTATCTCTCCTAAATATGAAATGAGCAATCAAACCGTTTTGTTTCTTTTCGATTTGAATTGAATTACATTTTGATTTTGTCCCGTTGTGGTTTTTATGTCCTATCCGTTTTGATTTCCTACAATTTTGCACCCCAAATAACTCCTTTGTCTTTCTTACGGTTTTGCAATTCCAACATCTCTTTCTTTACATAATATATATTTGTCCCAAGTATTGCAGAGATAGATATAAAAAAAATACAAGTTTTACATTATTGAGTTAATAGTAACATATCAAAAGGGTGTAAGTTCGAAGGTTCTTCCATTGTGCAAGGAAGAATTTTATCAGAAGAAGAAGATTTTGGGCTGTTTTATCCTGGGGACGATGTGGTGTTTGGGAACTGCTTGCACACTTTGGACAGAGCCGCGAAACGTCTTAAAGAGAGCGTTTTAGTCCGTAACTCATCCCAATAATCATTCACCATTCAAGGCTTCTACATTTTTCAGGTAACTTCATTCCTTTTTATTTCAGTTTTCAACAATTTTAAGACATATTCAATCTACCATGCATTATAAGGCAAACTCTATTTCTCAGGTAAATCTTGTTGAAGAGCAACTGATTGCAATGATATCAGAAATCAACGTAGTTGATGGATCCAAGGGATGGTGGGTGGACACTGGCGCTTCTTGCCATGTTTGCTATGATCATTCCATTTTCAAGACATATTCTGTAGCTGAGGGAAGGAAGGTGATGTTGGGTGATTCACACTCAACCGATGTTGCTGGTACTGGAGAGTGAAGCTGAGGTTCACCTCTGGAAAAACCATGATACTGAAAGATGTGATGCATGCTCCAATGATAAGGAAGAATTTGGTCTCGGACTTTCTTCTCAACAAAGCTGGATTTACCCAAACCATTGGAGCAGATACGTATACTCTTACCAAAAATGGGGTTTTTGAAGGAAAGGGATATGCTACTGATGGAATGTTTAAATTGAATGCTGATGCTATTAAAATGTCATAATTGAGTCACTTGATGCTGATTTTAATGAGAATAAATTTCCTTTAATCTTCGAAATAGTGGGGGTTCTAATTCTTCAAAAATTTATAAACCTACTATTAGATACCCCTTTATGGGAGAAACCGATTCCAGTAGTTTTGATCCATTGTGATAGCACATCGTAATCTCTTATGGAGTTGTAAGAGTGGATTATATACGGTCTGAAGAAAACTTGGTTGATCCTTTGACGAAAAGACTAGCACAAGAAAATGTTTGGAAAACCTCGAAAGGGATAGGACTAAAGCCCGTAGAAAATTGAGTCATTTGTGATAACAACCCAACCTATAGATTGGAGATCCCAAGAAATAGGTTCAAAGGGTAATAACAAGTCACAAGTGATATGAGTGAAGTCTTGCTAATTTTAATTTGGAATATTATTCCATGTCCATCCCTAAGAAGCATGACATCCTGAAGCGTTTTTAGGTTGAGAGTTTTTTTTTTTTCTCTTAATAAGGTGTATACTCTATGTTGAGTGGGATATCTAGCTACAGGAATATCCTTGATAGTCTTACCTATGTGAATGTGGAAGTAAGGCCGCTTCCTATGAAATCTTAGGCAAGTTTCTAGAGCGTTCACTATACTAGGATACAAGCACATGACCGTAATGTGCTGGCTTTTTGAACTTCACCTTAATAAAGTTATGTGCATGGTGTTGTCAGAGATAGAGTTCAAAACTATAAGTTACTCTAGTATAATCTGGATCACTAACACTATGTACAGGTTCAAGTTGAGAAACACCTTTACTTATGCATAGCTTTATGATATGTTGCTTGATATATATTTTTAAATAAAAACAAGTGGGGGATTGTTGGAGCAGCTATATTTTTAAATATATTTACGTTTTGTTTTATTACCAATATTAAAAGTCAATTGATTTTGGCTTAAGGAGTTATCTCCCCTAAATATCAAACGAGCAATCAAACCGTTTTGTTTCTTTTCAGTTTGAATTGAATTACGTTTTGATTTTGTCCCGTTGTGGTTTTTATGTCCTATCCGTTTTGATTTCCTACAGTTTTGCACCCCAAATAACTCCTTTGTCTTTCTTACGGTTTTGCAATTCCAACATCTCTTTCTTTACATAATATATATTAGTCCCAAGTATCGCAAAGATAAATATAAGAAAAAATACAAGTTTTACATATATTGAGTTAATAGCAACATATTGAAAGGGTGTGAGTTCGACGGTTCTTCCACTGTGCAAGGAAGAACTTTATCAGAAGAAGAAGATTCTAGGCCGATTTATCCTGGGGACGTCGTGGTGTTTGTGAACTGCTTGCACACTTTGGGCAGAGCCACGAACCGTCTTAAAGAGAGTGACTTAGTCCGCGACTCATCCTAAGAATCATTCACCACTCAAGACTTTTACATTTTTCAGGTAACTTCGTTCCTTTCTATTTCAGCTTTCAACAAAAATTAAAAAAAAAAAAAAAGCTTAAATAACAGAGCCCTTCGGACAAGTGAGATGGGCAGGATATCATTATGACCCTTCGTTTTAAGATTTTTTGCCTGCACCTTCCACCCCATATTACTATACAATCACTCTCTGTCTCACTAAGCCCTAAGGTTTGTAAATTTTATTTTTGGGTTTTTTAGACAACGAACAGTGCAAACCTTTTCACAAAATATTTTGGTGAGTTAACACAAAGATTTTATGCATGAAAAAGTTTTTGCATCTAGGATTTTTTAAGAACTCTGAGAGAAGGCTCAGAAGAGCTAATGCACCCTCTTAAAAAATGATAAGCTTTCTAACCCAAGAGCAAATAAGCTCAACTCAACCTTAATAAACCAAAAGATATTTTGTTTTGAACAACCACTAAGACACTTGTCAAATGCTAATGAAATCTGAAAACATGAGTGTGTGAAACTCACTCGTATGTCAGACTCACGTGCAAAACACATGCATAAGGCAGAATGCTGTTATAGAATCTGCTATTTTAGAATATATTGTGTGTCCTACCCAGATGATGTGGGTCGACAATTTCACTAATCAGAATGCATGAGAAATTTGAACGTGAAATGCATATATATAAACAAACTTGACTTGAGTTAAATCAAGACACTGCACTTTGCTCTTCAATATCAAGTATTCTAAGCCTAATATAATGTAAATTGGCCTAAAGAGTTTTTGTGATAAAATGTTACAAATTTGACAAGGAAAGTCAATTAAAATCTTAAACTAAAACTTCACACGAGTTTTTAGAACATAATTCCGAAATCTTTAATGTACACATCCTCACCTTCAAATAGCCTTATTAGTTTGACAGGTAGTTTTACTCCTTTCAAATTCTAGATTTTTAATTATTTTATTTTGAAAATTCTTTTCAACATCCTGATCGCTTGAGCTTTTAGTTTTCAACGTCCTTGATGAGCATTTTTGGTGTAGTGAAAACAGTTGAGGTGTGTTCATTAAACTTTCAATTCTGTACTATCAAACTGTCACTCTTGTATCCTGAGCAATCACATTCGAGCGTGCGCGCGCGCACACACACTCTCTCCTTTATCTCTCTCTCTCTCTCTCTCTCTTTCTCACATTAAGGATCACTGATGGGTTGATTTTATATTATATATTTTATCATATTTTAAGTATGTTTTGGTAATTATTTTCGTGAAATTTTAATACTTGGATTTATATTCTTAATGTAGGACATGAGACTCCTTCTTGAGAAAAAAGTGAATAAAGGGATTAATTTTGGAGTGATTCCAATTGGAGGATGTTTGCAAATCTTTCACCTTGTTCGTTTCAAAGTTTCAGATTTTTCTACCAAGTGGTTAATTTATGGCGATGAAATAAAGAACCAGCGCGCAAAGCTGTTAAAGTGACGTTTTTGGTTTATTTGGGCTTTTGGCGTCTAAGATGGGGTCTTTTGGCCATGGATCCTTCTGCAAATATGTCCAGGATGACTTAAGCTTTTAAAAAGAGATCCGTTGAGCCTGATTTGAAGGTGTTTTGGTTCAGAAACGTGAGATTCTTTATGGCTGCCCAAGTTTCTCAAAGTTAGAATAGGAATGTATTTCTTTAACAAAAAAAAAGGAGCGTATTCCTTTGTTATCTTATTCTACATTTTTTTTTTTTAAGAAAAAGGGACCAACCGGTGGATTCACCATGGTGGTCCTTCATTCCAGGGACCGAAAAGACTCACATAGGCATTTTAGCCTCCCCGACCATCATTGTGTAATTCACTAGTGCTAGGAATCGAACCCAAGACGTGTCGTGTGAAATATGGGTCTGGAATTCGTCCCCAACCACTGGGCCACCCCGTGGTGGTTTAGCTATCTTATTCTATTTAGTTTCCTAGTTTTATTTTAAGACCTTATCCAGGAAGGATTTGTAGTGGTAAAAATAAGGCAATCTAGGCATTAGGGTTCTCTACGCATCAATTTGGAGAACTTGGCTAGGCTTTGACGATTTGTATTCTTCTTTCAAGGTGTTTTCTATCCTTTAGTAGTAAAAATAAGGCTATCTAGCCAACATCAATTTGCAGAACTTGGTTAGGCTTTGACGATTTGTATGCTTCTTTCAAGGTGTTTTCTATGATTTTTGTTCGTTATATTTCCTTTGATTTTGATTATGTGTCACCAACTTTCATTTGCTAAGGTAATGCCATGAGCCTTAGCATGAATATGTAGCTTTTATTTAGAAAATTGTTATTGGCACTCCCAAAATCACATTTTGCACTCCAAACTTTCTATAATTAGAAAGAAAAATACACTTGTGAGAGTGTAGAATAAAATTTTTGGATTTCTAATAACAATTCCCTTTATTTAATTGCTTATGCTATTATGCATGCATACTTTAAATTATTAATCATTGTGTTTAAATTGTCTGTATATTTGTTGAAAATTAAATATTATAATTATTATATTATAATATTATAATATTTAATTATAAAATATGAATGAAAAATAAGGGTCAATCAAGTGTTAAAGGTTATATATCAAAGGGTGCCGCAAGGGGAGCCATCCCCTTTAGTGATGTGTTTGTTAAAGGGTATTTGAGTTCTATAAAAACTTAAGAACTATTGTCTTTTAAGATATAGAATGAAGAGAAGAGTTTTCTTCAAGGTCTTTTATTCTTTGTAAGTCATATCTTGAGAGTACAAAATATATAAAGTTCGTCAGAGTCCGAAGATTGAAGTGCTTTAGTAGGGGTGAAATTCTATGTTTAAGACGTTGCATTTATGTAAGCCTCAATCTCCAAGTTTGTTAGTATTTCTAACCTTCTCTCTAGTTGTTTATCTTAATCTTACATATAATTGATGTTGTGAATTTGATTATTATCATTGGAATTAAATTGTTATTTTTTTTCATATTTTCTAATATTGCTCCAACAATTTAAAAACAGAACTTTATTTCATTATGGAACAATCTGAAAATATGAGAAATTCCCATAAGGCTACAACTTTAAACATTGGCAACAAAAGATACAACATTTTACATTGAGCCTAGCCTTATTCTTGAAGAAAAAAGCATCAGTGCATATCATTGATGCAACCAAGACATGAATCTTTTAAATATCTATGGAAAGATTAATCAGGGGCTAGATGATGTGTTGTAGGTTGTATATAGCATACAAAACAACACAAGAGTTTTGGGAATTATTGATGATGATGATTAAGGTAGAATATTATTTGTCTTATATATATAAGAAATTAGTCTCTAACTGCTTTCAAATTAGTCTCTAACTGCCGATTTACATAATTTTGGAATTTGAAATATGCCAAATTATTGCCATTGGATTTT